ATATTCTAAGGATGGTCAAGAGGCTCACTCCATACACAGCTAGGACCTGACGTCAGGCTCCTCCCCTGTTCACTCATTATTCAGTAAACCATCACTGTTAAACCTAACACTCTTTTAGGTCCTGGGGATACGTGAGTAAGACTAACAGTCTCAGTATGCAGGGGCGCTATGGGTCTAATGGGGACGATGGACATTAAGCAAACAATTATAAATGTACAAAAAGGAAATTCCAAGGTGCGATGGGAACGCTGACTTAGTCTGGGGGAGGAGGCTGGAACCGGGAATGCCATGTAAGCAAATATCCAGAGAATGAGAAAGAGATCACCAGATGAAGGGGAGGGAGATGAGGAGTTTTCTGGCTTATTCCACATTCGCTCTCAGCCACTGGAACAGCTCTTGCCTCAAACATACAAGAAAGTTGTGGCTACCACTGAAATAGATCCCTGGTCCATCAAAGAATGTTGTTGGTGAGCGGAAGGAATATGAATCCGCATATCAATCCATGTTTAAGAATTAGGTGGTGATCGGCAAAGCCTGGTAAGGTCCTGACAGAAGAATGGAGATTTAAATGGCCCAAGTCAGTCCCCTACAAACCATCACCTCACGAAGGCAGGCTGGGGGATCTAGATGGCTTTCTGGCTAGCTCACAATCGGTTGGCTCTAGCTGGGCATTTTACACATCAGGGCCTCCCTCCCACTAACAATTCATTTCTCCATCTCTGCCGCTGAGGAGAGGCAGAAAGAACAGCTTACCTTCCATTGACTTTAAAAGGAGCCTGGGCCTGATGTCTCTGCAGCTGGCAAGTCTTGCCTTCCTTGTATTTCCCATTTATTGTCAGTGGGGCTCCTGTGAGTTCAGGGATGGCTCTGCTGTTCCAAAAAGAAACAAGGAAAGTGAGGGAGGAAGCAGGACCCTTCTTGCCTCTGACAATTCAGATGCAATGAACTCATCTCTATGGGGAGGGTTTGTCTTTTTTTTTTCTTCCCATTTCAAAACAACTTGCATTTATTATCTCCTAGTGTTCAAGGGTCAGGAGTCTGGGCTGGCCTAGCTGGTCCTCTGCTCAGGGTAACCCCAGGCTGCAGTCATGGCTTCAGTTGGAGTGTGTTCCTGTCTGGATTCGGGTCTCCTACAAGTGCACATAGTTGTCAGAATTCAGCTCCTTAAGGCTTTAGGACTGACAACCCCCCTTTTTTGCTGGCTGTCAGCCAGGGGTTGTCTTCAGCTCCCAGAGCATCTGCAGTTTGGGGAGGGTTTGTCTTAACAAACACCTAGAAGAGTAGGAAAAGTCTTCCTCAGAGTTCCCCAAATGCCAGGACTGAGCTTTTTCCTTTCTGGGCCCCTCATGTTGTCTTGGGCACACTTGGCGCGATTAGCTTCAATCTATCTCATATTTGAGATGGCAATGTTATCCCCACTCATGGAGATGTGGCCTGCAGTTCACTCATGAAGTTCCCATTATCTGGAGGGATAACGGTCTGTGTGTTGGCTTTTGTGTTAATGAAGGACTCACATTAAAAATTACTTAACTGAGGGAAGGAACTGAGTAATCAGAATGGAAGCTAGACACAGAGATAGACACTAGCCCTTTAATTTCTGAAATGCGTGGAGGTCCAGAGTCCCGAGGGGAGAGAGAAATATTCTCAGGATGGTGCAATTTGCTAACTGGTCTGGACAAATTTTAGAATTATCAAAACTGGTGCCTCTGGAATGGTGGTGCCTATTGAGTAACTTGATATTTGGTGTGGTGTGTATACATTCTAAAATGACAGGTGTGCACTGCAAAACCTTTGGGCATTGTGGCTACACTTCATGCCTGTTTCTCTAACTTGTTATGTGACTTTGGGGAAGTTGCGTATCTCCTTCAGTCTCAGTTTTTTGTTTTTTAATCAAGGCTATATGATGTTTAAACTTCCTACCAGTCCTAACATTCATTTTCACAATTCTAAAGCTATGATCCAGGTACTATTTTCGCTCATTAACACACAATTATGTGTTGTGAGTGAGAGCCCCAGTCCTGCTACTTGGGTCTGAATCCTGCTCAGAGATCCAGGTCAGGCTCTGTAAAGTTTTCTCAGTCCCATTTCTTCAAGTGTAAAAAGGCATTATCATCCATTTGTCTTGTGGGGTTGTAGTAGCTAGGGTTAAAAGGGCTGATGCCAAGAGAGAATTCAGCACCATGCTTGGCATGGAAGCACTCAGCAGATGTTACTTTTTATTATATCAATGGCTAGAGTGGGCTGAAGAGCTAAGAGCATTTCCCTGTATCCTTCAAACCCATCCATGAATTTCAAGGTTATTTTTCAAGCACAAGCTGCCTTAGCTCTTGAGCTGTACTGCTAGCGGTAATTGCACACTGAGTGTGTGTGAAGGGGAGAGAGGGTAGGGGCCATGTCTTCAGAACGTGTTCCAGGCATGGCCAAGGGCCCATTCTCTGATGTCTCAATCTGTTCGGCAGAACTCAGCCATGTGCCAACTTTTGCTAAGCCATGAAAATATTTAAAGTTTATGGTGAAATGAGATGTTCAACAGAGGAGAATTCTTCCTTTTGCTGGGATTTGGAAGACGTTTTTCACAGACCCTTTGTTTCAGATGTTATCTTTTTCCATCTGGAGGTGTGATGAGGCTGAGGGAAGTGGTGGAGGTTCTGGACAATATATTCCCCTGGCTATGATTTTCCTACTAAATTCCAGTCTGAAGGACCTGGGCATATGAAAAAAACAGTAATGACTCAGAATTTCAAAATAAGGGGAAAAAATGGACCCACTGTAAATTACAAGTGGTTATAAGATGGTTGAAATCCTGGGAATTTAGTAGCTTATTTTATTGAAGGGTCCAGGAAATGTATTGACTTCAGGTTTGGCTGGTTCAAGTTGCTGAATTCTTTTCACCAAGACTGGTTCTCTTTCCATCTTTCAGATCAGTTTTCCTCTCTTCTTGCTTTATTTTTCAAGGAGATTTTTCCCAAGTGGAGGCTAAGAAGTTCACTAGTAACTCTAGACTTGCATTTTACCAATTTCTCAACCCCAGCAAATAAACAACACTTCTTGTCCAATCATGCCAGCAAAATCCCAGGAGGGATTCTTAGGGGTCCAGCTTGAGTTTTGTGTCCTTCTCTGAATTCACTGAAGCCGGGGAAAACAACACTCTGACTGGGCCCAGGCCACAGTCCATTCCCTCGAGCCAAGAGGAAGTATTAAATTCAAACTTCACATACTAAGAATAAGCAGAAGGCTGGTTGCCCCAAAGAAAACTGGAGTGTTGTTCCCAAAAGAAGGGAGTCAAAAAATCCCAAAAGATCCCATTCCAAGCCGGGACTTAGAAGGAAGAAAGCCATCTGCACACACGTGCCCACAGATGTTTCTCTGGAAACTGGAATGAAAGAGCTGGAAAAATCAGGTGTTCATTTTGATGAATCGTTTCGCCATTCCCTTTTTCTTGAGCAAAGTCCTAGAGCCTTCATGCTGTGTCCAGTGCTGAGTCAGAAGCTGAGGACAGGGAAACAGCAGGACGTTCTGCTCTTAGCCAGAACACACCACACATTTGTTTTCCTGCTCTCCGACATCATTTCTATGTCCTATCGTTCCTCCCAAGTAACCACGGGCCTCCTTCTTTCCCTTTGAATGCTGAGGACTCCGTCTCCAAGTTCCTTTGCTGGAAGGCATATTATGAAATGGGATGTACCATCGGAGATGCACATAAGAAATCTGAACTGCATGGCCTCACGTAAATGCCACCAGGTCTCAGTCAAGGGCTCCGTCCCCCTGCAACAGGTGTAAGGACAAAAGGCTGATTGTCCTAAGAGCCTACAGCATAAATAGAAAGAACATGTCCTTGCTAGTTAATCTGCTGGTGATAAAGAGTATTGTTTTATCTCCTGCCATCTCCACGGTTCCATGGGGTGAGAACTACTGCGACACAAAGTCCCCTTTGTTTTCCCCATCCAAGGAGACGTTTAAGTTGACCTTTCATATATCCCTCGGTCATCGCAATCTGAGCACTGAGTTGGTACTATGCATTGAGGGGATTATTTTTATTCCCCAAAGGGCACTGTCTTCTACAGAGATATTATAAGGCTGAAACACAGCATGATCCTCTTTTGCTTAAAGAAATGCTTTGAAAAAAGAAGCAGTTTAGGTTTTTAGAAAAATTGAACCCAAAGGAGAATTCCCATCTACTCCATCTCCTCCCTCACCATGCCCACTCATCCAGTTTCCCCTATTAGTTATATCTTGCATTTGAGTGTTAGTGTGGTACACTGGCAATAAATGATAAACCAATATTAAAACATTATTATTGACCAAAGTCTGTAGTTTACCCTTAGGGTTTACTCTTGCGCATTTTATGGATTTTGACAACTATATAATGACATGTATCCACCATTACCGTATCATACAGAATCGTTTCACAGCCCTAACAATCCTCTGTGCTCTGACTATTCAACCATCTGTCCTCCTCAATCCATGGCAATCACCATCTTTTCAGTCTCCATTCTTCTGCCTCAATGTCTTTTTTGATAACTCATTTCTTTTTATTGCTTAATAGTTTCTGCTTAATATTGAAAGCTCTCAGGGTATGAGAGGAGAAAGTTGTCCCCACCTCTCACCACTTCCTTTACTGGCCTTTTTGTCAACATAAGAGAGGACTAATGCTCACCTAAGTTTTAAAAAGTGGGCCTACTGGATGTGTTATTCAAAAGAATACTACAGAACAACTTCAAGTACCTTCTGTAAGACTGGAGGAAGAAAGAGCAAATTCTAACATTTCAATCACAGCTAAACTAGAGGGCTGTTTAGGATGAAGACAACACTGGTGTTGTTGGCATTTTTAACCAGAAGAACTTACATCCAGATAACTAGTGTTTTTTCCAAAAATAAATGATTTCCTGACTTTTTCCCCCCTAAGAATGTAGGAAGTCTCATTTACCTAATTAGTAGTAACATTCATTTTTAGTACATGAAAAAAGCATTTTTCTAACTTATTTACATTTCCTCAACAGAGTCCACTTTGTCCAGGAGGAGGACGAAGTTCCCATTCACTTATCTGATATTTGATAGTCATCAAGTGTACGGGCTTTAGAATTCGAGGAAGTGAGGTAAGTGTCCCCGCTCTGGCCCTTTACTAGCTGTGTGTCTTTTAACAAGTCATTTCTCTTCTCTCTGCCTCAGTTTTTTTTCTTTCATAAACCACAACTAATAATAAGCTCTTTCTTGTAAGACAGTTATGGATATGGAAGGAGATAATCCACGGAGAGAATTAAGAACAGTTTCAATAAAAAAAACTGTCACACATCAGCCAAGCCACATCAAACATTGGACTGGGTATAAAGGAAATGCTGAGAACAGAGTAGATGCTTATGAAATTGTTCCTGACAGATCGAGGAGACAAAGGGAGGTAAACGCTATCACGTGTGGGCTCTCAGAGACTATAGTCGAGGAAGCCTACTTCACTGGGGCTGAGTGTGATGGAGGAGATCAAGGTACTGTGTGCAATCTCGTAGAACAAGGACACCACTTCTACCTTTTGGCTCTGCCCCCTGCTGAGATAGGGCCACTGCTAATAACATTCTGCTCTGCTCTTCAAAAGCCCATTTCCTGAGCAAGTGATGCTTTGGAAAGGTGATTAGCAAACAACCTGGGTCCCAGGTTTAATGAATTTCTTTAGGGTGAAACTGAAAGGTACAGTATCATTCTGTCTCTCTCCTCACCCCCACCCCCACCCCCCACCTCTCAGCTGAAATAACTTATGTCACAGTTATTAAGATCCCAGTGGTGCAAGAAATCTCAGTCCCACACAACGCGAGAGCTAGCGATACACACACTGTAGGCACCCTTTTGTGTATCCTACTTTTACTTTTTACTCACTTGCATTTTGCGGACAAATACTCCCTTGCCAAAGGCAGGATAAATAAACTCAGACACATCCTGTCTCTTTTACATCTCTGTTTATCCATAAACTGTCAAAGATACAGATGAAAATCCACTAAAGCGTGCTTGAAGCAGTTACACAAATGCCAAGTGAGACAGCAGCATCAAAGCCCGATGTTAGGCAAGATATTATCTGAAATGATACCAAGCTGACTCTGTAGGATGGCATGAATGAAAATTAAACATACCGACAAAAGACGACCAGCTAATACAGTTAAGAATGGACTCAACTGTGTAAGAAAGCAATACCTGAAAACAAGGCCACGTGAGGAAGTGTCTACAGTTAGTGGGAAAGTGATCAAGCGTAGTTAATAGCGCGCAGATTTTAGAAAAGAGAGTGGATTTGAAGCCTGGCTCCTTGTTTACCTTTTACCTTTAACTGGGTGACATTTAACTACTCCAAACCTCACTTTCCTCATGTGTAGATGGGCTAAGTTAATACCAACCTCCGAGGATTATTTTTTCAAGACCTGCTGAGTTAAAACGTAAAAGTGCTTGATAATGCTTGGCTCAGGCAGACTTACAGGAAAAGTCAGCTGTTATTTTTCATATGTTAAGAAGGGCTATGAATTAAAGGGCACGTGGCAAGCAGCACCACCCCAATCTTGCTGCCATAAACCTTTTATTTCAGGGCATCCCATGAGGTTGATGTTCTGCAGAAAACAATTTAGGAAAACGCTGCCTTAAATAAGTAAAACCTAAAATGGGTTGGGGGGGGTTGGGTGAGGGGAGGTTGGGAGATGGGATGAATGTCTTGAATATCCTCGTGAGAAAGTGAAGAGTTTAAAGTGGTGCTGGTGGTTATTTCTGTAACATTATGGGCATCAGGTCTGGGGTCAGGAATGCCTCCTCCAGGCTGTCCTCATTTCTGTGGACAATCAGATTTCATTTTCATCATGTCTATTTACAGTCACTTTTCTGAAACCCAAATAAAAACAAGGACTGCCTGTTGAAATTGGTTGCAAGCTTTGTAAAGCAAAGTTTTCTCTTCTGACCTCTACCTTGGCAGCTGGCCTGTGTCTACCCTCCCCTTCTCTTGGGTCAGACTTTCCCCCTGTGTCCCATGAACACAGAAGCGATCACCTCCCCCTTAGGGAGGTACTGTGAGCCTGGAAGAAGCATCTGGAGCCTCTCTGGAGAAGAATAAACTGTATGCAAGACTATGGATGTTTTATGACCTGGAAGAGATGGCTAATCCACGGTACAGGCCTGCAGCTTGATTTTTTCCCCCCTTTTCTAACGCAAGGAAGCTCAGCAGTGAATCTCATTTTCCACAACTCCCCAGGTGGTTTTGCAATAAATCTGTGAATTTAATCAGCCTCCTCTCTTGAGGCAATCTTTCCTAATTGGGTTCTTATGAGGGACAATAGACATGATGACAAAAATACTTCATCTCTGGAAAGGAAGCCAGTGTCTCATCAATTATACTGATAATAAAGCTCCCATCCCTCAAAGAAACGGGCCTCCAGCGCAAACACCCCCGGCACCAGGCTCGCCCTGCCTCAGGTCATATTTGTCTTTTAGACCATCATCTCTTTGTTCTCTTCCCTGGCATCATGAGCAAGAAAATGAAAACCCCAGAATGAAAACTGAGCATCTCCAGCACCTTACTGGCCAGGAATGAAATGGACTACTAAGTTTCTAGACGTTTCCCAGAATATCGCAACAGAGTAATGGGGGATTGCATTAGAACTGAAAACAAAGCCAGAACACAGAAGCTGAACAATATGATCTTGTTTCTTCTCTTTCTCTCTGGTTGGGATTCCCACATCTCTCTGCCAATCCTGGCAATGAAGGTGGGGTTTGGAGTGGCCCCCGGCAGGAATGTCACACATGTTCATTGGCGCTTCACCGGCAAAGCAACTTAGTGGAAAGAAAAAAAAAAAGAAAGAAAGTGGGGATGTGGAGCTAGACGCCTCATGTTTCCCAGTTAGTGGACAAATATGATCTCCAGATCCAGCTGGTATCTAGACCGGAGCTAGGTTCTAGGTGGGTCAAGAATAGAGAGAGAAAGGGAGATCATAGTAACGCAGGCAGGCCTTTCAGAGCTGCTCACCCCACTTGAAAGGGGCTGGAGAGCAGCGGCAGATAAAACCTAGGCTTTTCCACGAGGGAAACAGAGAGAAGCAAAGCATGGTAATGAATTAGAAGTGGTCGAGAGGGAAGAATTTCCCAAGGATGTCATCTGTGCCAGCTCCATCCAGCTGAGCCTGGCATTCCAGCACCCCTCCATTTCCGAATCCGAAAGCATCCTGACGGCATCCCCTCACCCCTCAGGGCTGTCAGTGGTCAAGAGAGCACACTGGGGATAAACGTGGGAACTCACCTGTGGTCAGCAGACACAGGACCAAAATTGGAGGGAGAGCTCTGAAAAAAAGCCATCTTCCCTTGCGAATTGGACACAAACACAAAAGAGCCAGTATATTTTAACTCTTGCAGCCGCAGGCCCTCACGGGCATGTGAATAGGAACACTGGTGGGGCAGAAACCCAATAAAACCTCCAGGTGCCCTCATTTCAGTCCCAAGTTGTGGTTTCCATGCTTCCTCCCACTGGACAGCTTCGGCATGGACTGCTACCAAAACCAACAGTAAAATTTAACCACCGCTCCTTGCAGGAAAAGAAGAAATCCTCATCTCTTCATGGAATTTTCTTTTGGTGCAAGTCTTGCAGAATTTGGCATGCCTCTCATATACACCCAAGCTGTGGGGCTTTCCAGACGATCCTTCTCTGTAGAACAGGGCTTTCAACAAAGTGTGCTCCCCAGACAAGAAGGATCAGCTTCACCAGAGAGCTCATTAGAATTGCAAATTCTTGGTCTCACCGAGTCCTACTGCATCAGCAGCGCTGGGGATTGGGCCCAGCAATGTGTTTTAACAAGGCTGCAGGTGTTTCCAATGCCCACTTAAATTTGAGAACCACTGATACAGGCTGGTCATTTCTTCAGAATTCCTCACATTTTTTATACCTGTGTCTTTGGTCCTCCTGTTCCCTCCATGTGGCATGCTTCTTTCTCTTCTGCTTGGTAGGCTCCTATTTAGTCTTTAAAGCCCTCCAAAAATACCGTCTCCTGTTTGTAAGCCTCCCCGACACCATCCTCTCCACTAAGCAGAATCAATTGTCCCTTATTTGTGCTCTGACAACACTTCAGGCAGCCACTAATTTATTATATTACAATCATCCTATATGTGTTTTCCATAGCAGGCTGAGAAAGCAGACAAATGTCTAATTCAGCAAATATTTTATGCAAAATATCAGGGGCCGAGCATTATGTTAGTTCTGGTGATGCCAAAATTAAGTAATAAAAATTTTAATTAAAACATGGGATACTACCTCATTTACATAACTCACTGTTGCATACCAAATGAGATTGCAAATCCCCAGCTTAAAGTCTCACCTTTGACATGCGCTAGCTGTGTAACCTTGGGCAGATTATTTAAACTCTTTAAATTTCATTCATAGAAAGGAAATGCTGGTAGTATGTACCTTAGTATTTATGGCATGAATAAATTAGAATTATATGTACAGTGCTCAGCACAGCACCTGGCCAGAGTAAGCACTCTGTGAATGTTTGTTGTTCTTGCTAATTATAATAATATCATCATCGTCATCACCATCGCATCACTAACAACTTGTGTGATGCCTGGTACAGACAATGTAAACATAAATGTTTGGCGAGATTTGAACAAGTTCAGGGTTCTAGGTTCTCTACTGTACACCCTGGGGTACTTGACACTTACCATCAGCAAATTTGACTTTATATAAGATGTTTCAGATCTGCAAAAAGGTACAGAGAACTTTTGCACTGCCTCCCTGAGTTGCCCAGCCTGAGAACTGATCAAGACCGAGAATCCTGTTGGAGTTATTTCCAGGTTGTAGTAGGTCTCTTCAAATCGAGCCTCCCCTGACTCAGACCATACTTAACACACACTGATTGGTTCTCAGATTTGATTTCACCTTAGTATCACCTGGGCAGCTTTTAAAACAAACTCTTGATGCCTGTGTCTACCTCTCAAAGACATAGATTTAATTGATATGAGGTATGGCGTGGGCAACGGAATTCCCAGGTGACTCCAGTGTGCAGCCCTAGTTTTTACCCTGAGTGTTGGAAGACTTACAAGGAAAGTAACTGGTGGGTCACGATAAACAGTTAAGTGACTATTAAAGTCT